GATGATCTCCTCTGATCCTGTGGTCTCCTCTCCAGACGCAGTAGACGCTTCCTCTTTCCCCTCCTCCCCCGACAAGACGCCGCTTATCACTGAAGAGGAGCAGCAGCGAGGTAAGGGGGAGGAAGAGGTGTCAGAGGAGATCACCAAAGCAGAGGAGGAAGTTGCTGAGACAACAGGAAGCGACAGTAAAGTTGATGGAGCGATAGATGGAGGAGAAAATGATGCGGAAAGCTTGGAAGGAGGTGTGGAGGAGCATCAGACCCAGCTCCAGCTTTCTGTTCCAGACCTCATCAACAAAGATCCCCCCATGCTGGAGCCCCGAGCTAAACCCTGCGACGTCTGGCAGAAGGCTCCCGGGCCGGACTCCCGTCTGGCCTCTACCCCCTGTTCAGGGAAAACTCCCTGCCGCATCAGCCTGGGCGAGGATGTCCTGCTGGGGAATGGCGCCCCCTTCAGTAAAGTCACCGGAGTGAGCACTGAAGAGTCAGAGCATCATCCAGACCTGCTGTCCTTTGAGTGACAGGCAGAATCAAGTTCAGTATGTCTCTAAAAGTTTCAATTTCAGCTCAAAAGTCTCCTGAGAAAATTCAAGCAGACATATCCACTGCCACTTTTAGACACAGAACTCATCCTGCTCCAGGGGTTTTCTCAACGCAAAGGGAACAAGTGAGTCCAGAAACCAGAGCAGGGACCCGGTCTGCTGCTTTTTAGCTGTTTTAGATGGTTGGAAGAGGTCAGAGGTCACAGTGATGGCTGAAGAATACATGCTAGTCGCAAGAGAAGAAATGGATTTTAAGGTTTATTATGATGCAAAGAGTTATAATTTTAGTATTAAAACAAAAAAAAATCTTTTTATAGAAATGTGCATAAGATGTTAAAGCTTTTTAAACTGGTTCATAACATGTTTAAAAAATGAATGTAAGTGAATGTCTCTTTAAATGGGCCAAACATTTGAAACCCTGTCAGTCATACTTCTATAAATACACGAGTATTTACATCTTTTAAACAGCATGCAGGATCTACTCTTGCTTATATGTGCAACTCTTATTCCCAGAAAGTCAAGGTTTTGTGAGAAAAACGGATTTTGATGGTTTATGAATTATTTAAGCTCTCTACAATTGAAAATAGTGCAAAGACTGAAAAGATTCAAGATTCACTTGAAAAAGTGAAAAATTTATGCTCATACAAAATTTGATTCCAGTTGCACATTTCAAAAAAGCTGAGGCATGTGTTTCCTTGTGTTTTTTAGCTTTATACAACTTTTTCAAGGCTTTGTCACCCCAGTCCTAACAGTAGCATCAGTTCTGCAGAGAGGCTATTTCCCTGTAGTAAAGATGGGAGGAGGTTTGATACTCTGTTGGAGACTGCATGAGCAAATAGTTCAACAACTTCAGAATAAAGTTCCTCTCCACAAAATTATGAAGAATCATCTACAGTACATGTTATCACTAAATTTCAGTACAAAAGGAACAGGGAAAAAAACAATGTTAGATGTCTGTGATCTGAAGGCCCTCAGGCAACACTGCTTAGAAACTGACATGACTCTGTAGTGGAAATCACTGCATAAGCTTAAAGTCATTATCTGTGAACATAATTGGTTGCTTCGTGCACAAATGCAGGTTAAAACTGGGCTCATTCCCATTGAAGATAGACTCAAGTGAAGAGGAAAACAGCTCTGTAGTCTTGTAATTATGGACGCTGCATACCCAGCTTAGAGGAAGGAGAGATACTCCCCGAGGCTGTAATGAGTGCAAAGTTAAAACAGCATCCAATGGGGTAAAGGGATGCATTAATGTTAAATGCATGATCAGCTTGCATGTCTGGGAAGGCACCATTAATGCTGATCAAATTTGCCATCCTGACAAAGACCAGGGCACAGTCTGCACATGTCACAACAGCATGGTAGAAGAATAGTAGAAGAATCCTTGAGCTGAAGTGGTCTGCCTGAAGTCCTGACTTGTCCCCAACTGACAACACTTGGTCCACCACGACACAGAAGTCCAACAAAGGAGACCCTGAGCTGTTGAGCAGATGAGCAGTCCTTATAAAACTCCAGAAACTGGACTCTTTGATTCCCAAAAATTAACAGTGTTTTATATTTTTCAAAGAACAATAACATTTTTTAGTTTTATCATTTGATATGTTGACCCGGCACTGTTTCACTCCAGAAAAGAATGATTTACAAACCATCAAAATCCGTTTTCATCAATATTTTACACAGTATCCATATTTTCTGGGAGTTGGAGTTGTGTTTTATACCGATAATATTATGTATACTTACGTTCTCAAGCCTTTTGTGACATTTTAATACCATTTAAAGGGACATTTGTTTGTTTTTCTATCACTCTTTAAGTCCATTTAACACAAACGCTGCTACAATGAAACCAATAACAAAACTAAAACAAGTTAAATCATTGGTGACAGTATAATCAAAGTTGTAGTAGGTGAATGTCTGGGGAAGTGAGCGGAGTTGAGGGAAATCAGAGAGCGACAGAAACTGAATGAATGTGCAGGTCTCAGGGATCCGGAGGGTTTTGACAGAGTTCACACTGAGTTCACATGGGACAGCTAAAGCGGCAGAGTCTGATCAGGAGCGGAGACCTTTTCGCCCTCAGCTTCACCCATTTAAAAAACATCTGACACATTTTTGGGTCCAGCGAGTTTTTATTATAACACAAATAGAACTCGACCCGTCCTACACTCGCTTTTGGCAGCGTCTCTGACCCTGAAAGTGACCTTTTAACGCTCCAAGTGAGAAGAAAAGTGTTTCAAACGGCTCAAATCGTAACAACAGCAACAAAAACAACAAAAATGTGGCTGTTTTAATTCATGTTTTTTTTTTTTTCCTTTTTACTGGAAGCAAATTCTGTACTTTCTCCAACTGAGAAATGCATAAAATCCATCTGAGATGAAGTTAATTAGCTAATCTTTTTGGGCACATATGTTTCCTGATTTTGGAACAACAATTCTGCTCATATTTCCCCGCTCTTTTCTGCCTGCTGCTATTCCCGCAGAAGACACCCTCAGGTCTCTGCGGGGAGTAAACAAATCATTAATTCTACTCTCTCTGTGATGCAGAATGAAAATACAATGTGTTGATGGTCAGACACTAAAAGTTAATTTATAAAAGACAAAATATTTTATATTCTGAGCAGCATAAGAATGCATGTCCGCTCTGGGGTGCTAAAATATCAGACCTTGTTTTATATCAAGATCCTTCTTTTAGCTGCTTTTTTATTAACTTCTTAACTTAAGAATCAATCAAAGCTTCTTTTACATCCTCCTAAAATGAAGCCAAATGAAAACTGTGGGAGATAATGGGGAACGAAGTGATAAAACTGGGGACAGTCTCATTTTTAAGACTTAAACCTTTGGGATCTACAGCTACAACTACTGTATTTTTCACACTATGAGGCTCACACATAAGGCCACCTGATTATAGTGCGCACTGAGGATTTCTGAGAAAAGTAAAGGATTTTACGTGCGCCTGATAGCGCGAAAAATATGGTAACTTTATCTGCCCAGGAACAGACAAAGAGGTGGAGCTGAGGCGGAGCTTTTACACCAACAACACACCCACCTGTCTGTCAATATAGCTGCTCCCATGATTCTGCAGATTTATATATAACTCAGCCCCCAGCCTTCATATAATCCTGGTGGATTCACTCAGAAAACCCCTTAATCAAAGGAGCTACTGAGACCAGAGACCTGTGAGAAACTTCTGGATCGGGACAAAGTGGTTCCTCCTCGCTCTTGTCCTTCGGTGTGAATGAAGATTTAACAAACAAAATCCAAATCCTACTGTCTTCAGACATGATATGATATGTATCTGATGGCCTTTTTTCTTTTAAAAGTCACATAAAGAGGCATCAGTATGATTTTCAGTCTGTATCGTAACCATCTAAAAACTCCCTATAGCACCTTTAATGATATTTTGCTGTAAATCTGGGTCTTTTAGTGGGTCTGCAGTTTTTGCATTGAAAGTTGCCGTCTTGAAATCGGAGTAACTTGTAAAATGCTTTTCACACCATTCACATTTACAAAAAAACAAGAACATTTATTCTATATCCTATATCATATGAGTTTTCCCGTGTCAAGACTCTCCCCTTGAACTGAAAGTGGACCCTGTCAAAACCCCGAGCAGGCTTGTAGACGGATGGGCAGATGGGTAGTATGTGGAGGAGGGTGGGTTGCTGAAAGTTGTTGTTGAGAATAGAGAAGCAGAGATAATGAGCTGTCAACAGAAAGAGATGAAAGAGGTGGATTTGATTCATGAGAATAACGAAGTGACAGACCAAAGACACAAATTAGCGTCTGAGTCCGACAGGTTGCTTTTATCGAGTTGTGAAACTGCTCTGATAGTTTTTCCTCCTTGAGATTTAAGCTGAGAGCTGTCGGAGTGAATAAAAAGGAAGCAATAACTCTTAAAGGAGATGTCTTTATTCTTTTTTTACTCAAACTCTGGATGAAGGAGTTGAAACCAAAGGTAAAGTAGTTTGAACAGTCTGTGTACAGATGTTTGAAATCATCGTCGATCATGGAGATAGAGGTCTTATGAGATCTTACGCGGCGTGCTTTGCCACCAATCAGTCTATTTCCCCTCTGTCGCTCTAAGAGGGTCAGACTCGAGCTGCAAAGTGTTTTTTAGCTCAACTGAAGAGTAAGGGACTGTGTCCACTTAGGCGCTTCCAGCAGCATCCACAGCCTCAATTTCAAAGGGTTTCTCACCAGCGTTTAGTGTCTGATGGAGTTTTCAGAAATGGTGGAGCCAATAGAATCCAGTCTCACATAAACACAATGTGTCCTTATATTACTGACAGCGTTCGTATGTGCTTGTATGTTATGCAACTTTTATCAACGCTAGCCAACTTAGTTCCTTAATAGACAGATCCTGTCAGTAATATTATATTTACTGTATTAATGTAAAAGCAGTTTCATGGGCGCCACCTTTTCTCAAACCGTCATTAGAACTCGCAAGGGCTCATACCGACTCAGTAAAGGTCCCAAAGCTGAACTGTTTTCGACTAAGAGTGCAGCAACAAAACCAGCTGATGCTCAGGGCATTTTTACGCTGAGGACTCTTGGCGTTGAGACGTTGGGCTGGATTTGGTTAGAGCAGAAATTAGGCACCACCAGCGCAAAACACAGCATCAGTCGACACAGCCTCTTAATGTATTTTTATAGCCTCAAAAAAGAGCTAAAAATTCCTGGATGACACTGAGATGGTCTCAGAGCCAGATGTAGCTGTGGTCAGGTCAGGCCCGGCAGAATGAGAGGAATGTGGAGCTGGACTCTGGTAGAAAGGAAGCTTTGTCTCCGACTGTGTCACGCAAACAAGAAGTGTCCTCAAAGATGCTCCATCCATATGAAAGCTTAAATGAAAATGGCTAAAAACACCACCCACAGACCGTTCTTTGGGCAGGTTTTATCATTTTACCAAAACGTGTTTGAAGACTTGGATTTTGGACTCAAAAGCTGCTGTGAAGCTCTTTAGATCGCCTTCCTTTTGTGCTTTTTGAGTCACACTCTTTTAACATCCATGCGTGAGGCTGGCAGATGTGTCAGCCGGTGGATGTTTGCAAAACAAAACTATTCCCGTTGCTAGTTATCGTAACACGAACATGGGAAAATGTTTTGACATCTGGATGAAGGGAGCTGAGAGAGTTCAGAGCAAAGAGAGGGCAAGAGGAGAAAAATGAGCAGCTGCTTGAATATGTTTGTGAAAGTAAATGTGTGAAAGCGACCAGAGGCACCAACACAGACAAAACAGGGCGTATTTGACCTGAGTTGACACCTTTGAAACATGGTCAAGTTTTCAGGGTAAAATATATTCAGCTGAGCCCCTAAAACCCAGTTAAATGAGCTGCAGTCAAAGGGGGAAAAATACATTTTTTTTACCTGCCAGCACTCTGCTAACCTGCTTTGTCAGGTCTCTGCGGCTGCTGTTTAATCAGGTTTGACTGACGCGGCTGATGCATGAGCAAAACAACAACAGCGAAACCGAAAAAAAAACACTCACTTCTGTCATCACACTTTGATTTTTGCTGAGTAAGCCCCCTTTAGTTTAAACCAATGTGAAAAGCACAGAGAATACTAAACAGAGAAATCTGTCTCTGCAAATATGTATTTTCATGTAATACTTTCACTCATAATACGCCTCCGTTGAGATAACACTGATATCCTTGTTGTTTTCCGCAACGCTGTGGTTGTTCTGCTGATTCGATCTGTCCTTCACCTCAGAGCTAATCACTCCACGCCTGAAAAACCCCGATATACCAGAGAGGAAACCTTTCACATCACATCAGACTGACAGCAGCCGCTTGTTTAGAGCCATAAGCTTAAAGCAATAAGAGTGAATGGATGCTCACAGGGCGTCAAATTGTCTAAAACACGACGCTTCTTTGCCTTTAATCAAAATCGCACATTAGGAGACAAGAAGCTGGATGAATATGGAGACCGTCATAGCAGCTCTGTTTGATTAAAATGCATATTTTAAACCACTAAAGCTGATTTATTTTGTATATTCTGATGAAGGAACGTTTGCTTACATGTTATTAAAGATTTTGTATCACTCTTTTTACAATATTTGTGAATATACAAATTTTCTGTCGCTCTAACAAATGAAGGAAATGATTTATTTTTAAATATTCAGCCATAGAATCTAGTTATTTAGAGTTTGATTAAAGAAGAAATGATCTTGCTTTCTTTTTTTTATAGATATATATGCTGTTAAATCTGTTATTTTATGTTCATGTAAAGCTGGTCGACTTAATTTCAGTCAGTTAGGAGGAATGAAGGATTTAAAATGCTGCACATAACAGACTCTTGGCAAACAAAGCATCATAACAGACTGCTGAAACAAACCTGGGATGTACTCTTTGTATTGATTGTATCTGAAAACTGTTGCAAACTTCATGATTTCTTTCATATTTTTTTATGTATGCTTGAAAATATGCTACAAAAATCAAAATGAATGATTTATGTTTCGTTTTACTTTCCTAATGTGTGTTTTTTTTTTATGGGGATGTAATAACTCCTGTAATCTTTAAGAAAATCTGGAAATAGATCATAATCATGACTCCTGTGTGTTTGCCTCTTTGACTTTTTCTCTCCTCGTCTATTTTGGGTGTATCCCGTCTTTGCTTTATGTCATCCCCACAGACAGCCTCCTGCCCAGCACCATCGCAAAACATCCTGTTTTGACGAAGCTGATGTCCTCATCAGTTTGAGCACTTTTTTCCCCGTCTCTGATACAGACACGCTGTTGTGTGTCCTCCTCTCCCTGACTGATTGATGGTCTGCTTTGTGGACGAATTCATGAGCAGAAGCTGCTCTGATGTTTAATTCATCTGTGTTTGTCCTAAATCATGGAAATCCTCGTCCTCCTGTTGTCGGCCCTGAACGTCACAGAGCTCGTGTTTGTTGTGGAGTCGAGTCGAGTTAGAGCCCGTCAGGGATATGACTGAGGGTGGAAATGACTGCAGGATGAGCGGGTTTATTTACCTAACATCCACATTAGGGATGTAAACAGCTAATCAGCCTAGACACACAGGTCATGTCACTATTAAATAATTCAAACATAATGCATTTATTCATTTCCTACAAAGGAATCTGATACATAATGTATCACCGAGAGTTGGGGACAGTTAGAAGTCTGAAGAAGTCTGTTCTGCGAAGCTTAGTTAAACTATCCTTATGAATGTCTCTGCAGGAGTTTCACTTCTTCTCCAGACCAGAACACATCTTACTGAATTTGTGAAAAGTTTGAACAAAAAAAGCAAACATTTTTCAAACAAGTTTAGATAACAAAACTTGACTAAAACTTAGTGTGAAGTGGACCAAGATTACAAGGTAGACACTGCTGTAAAGTATGGAGCCTCTAAAGTTCTACAAAGTACCAAAAAAAGTTATCCTGTTTGCACATAATGAGAATCTGTCCCCTAAAGATAGCTGTTTTGTGCACCAAAGATGACAAACATGTTCCCACAGTAAATGATTATCTTTTCTGCATGAGTTATTATCTAGTGAAAACAAAATAATTATATTGTGCCCAAAGTTTATTAAACCGCAGGTTCTGTAATTTTCTTTTGTGCACAAAAAAAGTATGTTGTGCTCACAAAATAATAACTTATCTGACAGGTTAATAATATTACGCCCAGATGATAAATACTTAAAATCTTGTCCACACTTTATTTTTAATGCAGACCAGATAATTAAAATGATCCCACAAAATAACAACTTTGGTTAAACTTTTGAATTTTTTAATTCACAAAAGATAAGACTTTTTGTGCACAAGATCATAACTTGTTCCTACAACTTTCAAATATTGGAAACTGATTACTGTGTGATAACAATTTCGCCCATGGAATTGAAGTATAACTTTCTGGGAGTTGCAGGACGACCTACAGTAATTAGGGATAATGACTTTCAGGCTGGACTGCTATTTCTGTGCGCTGTCTTTGTTTACTGTCAGATTGGCATCTCGAGAGGTGAGAATAGATGATGTAGCATTAAGAAAACATCATCTAACAGAGGGGTAATGAGCTGTGCTGTCTCAGAAATCTTTTTATACACACCTATTAAATTTAAATTATTGTTTAAAATGGGCTCCAGGATTGCATTATGCATAATACTCGTCTTGCTTTCCAGACAGATTATTTTCTAGTTTGCAGACAACACCTGCTGAGATGCAGGTGGATAATATCCCTCTAGTTACATTGGTTTGATGCAGACGGCAAAATGCACAAACTGAAATGCATTACCAGAACTAAATTGCCATCATTGAAAGGCAATCAAGCCTTTTATTTATGAAAATAAGCAATACTCTGCATGTCAAAGTGGAAAACAACCTGGTTTTAAGTAATTATAGAATTAAGAATTTAATCCAAGTTGGATTCTCAGTAGAAACTTTATCCCAGGAGGCCAAAAGTATGGATCCAACTTTTTCCACAGTCTGAGCTTGAATAAAAAAAATTACAAATCAACTGAAGGGTCAAAAAGCCTCTACACAATGTTATTCGTGTCATACTGTGATTTGTCTGCGGTAGAGGCATAGATCATGCCTATAAATCAGCACAGTACTCAAAGAGCGCCCTTGGTGTGAACAAAAGCTTTTAACTTGTTTCTTTTAGAGTGAGATAAAATGAATTATTGGTTGTGGGCTACTTTACAAAAAAGAGTCCCTTAATAGTTTGCAAACAATTAAAGGATGTAATTTTCCTGCTTTATACATTTTATTTGACAAGTGGAGGAATCAGCCAGCATTTTTGCATATCTTTGGCTCTTCATACAGAGCAAAGGATTAGCAGAGTCTGCTCAGCGGGGTGGATCTCAATGATTCAGCAGATTACAGGGAGTTAAAGTTAGACTAAAGCTCTCCAAGTTTGTATTGTCTTTAGTTTTCCTAATTTGTGCTTACTTCAGCTACCCATAACTCTCAACAACAAACTGACCCGCCCATGGTTGCTGTTATTTCTCATTCACAGGCAGCTCTGTGGACCTTCGGGAGTCAAGCTGAGCATTAGTCACTGCCAGCTGGCTGGACTGAGTCCTTATCAGGTTTATTGATCAGCATGGGGGGAGATTACAGTCCTCTGTCTGTTTGTTTGTTTGTTTGTGTAAGAGATAGAAAACTTGGGGACTCAAATGACCCAATTTGGCACCCCAAACCTCAAAACTTCTTTCCATGGTTTCATCCTTGAAAGAGAAAGAAATATTGACCTTTTGGCGTTCTCAGATTAAATTTACTTGCTAAAAATCACCACAAGGCGTATAAAGACTTTCATGCCCCTGTATAAAACAAAGAAAGGACCTGTGCCACCTTCAGTTCATCAAACTAGTTCAGGTACATTGAACATTAACAAACATGTACTCTATGGTGGAAAAAATCTGAATTACTCCAGTGTCTACCTCTAAACGTTAACAGACAGTAGCCTTTTTATAAGGTTGCAGGAGTTCATTAATTATTATAATTACATTGATTTAAAAGAACAAGGCCTCATAAAGTTAAATCAGTAGTGCGGCCTTATTAGAATATATTTGATAAATGATACCTTCACATCAGTATAAATACAATCGAACAGCACCATCTGCTGGATGACTGGCGGAAATACAAATAAAAATCCCTTCTAAACAAAATTTCCATCGACTGAGCTCATCGTCGAAAATGACATGAGGAAAACCACATTCCACATGGTCGGTCTACTAAGCAATAAAGTTCAATATTATTACTGGGTTTTTTTTATTAACTCCATTATTGCCATTTTTCCCTTTAGCGAGGTGACTGTTTCAACCGGAGAGGAGGAGCCAGCGTTTGTTGACGTCTTTACGACACTTCCCCGTCACTTTACGGCACAAACACATGAACGCTTGTGCAAGGAAAACATGAGAGGTCAAAAGTTATGGTCGTAGAGTTGAACAAATACGGAACGTAACGCTCAAATATGGTAGGTCTGCCTTAACGTGTAACAACCCTTACGTGTACTAAAATAAGAGCATATTTAGGAGTTTGTTAGATCTTTTTACATGGTTTGTTTTTAAAGGCTAAGCTAATCGTTAGCTCAGGTGCAAACTGAATGACCAAACACGACGTAAACAAAAGAGACTTGGGTTTGAATCGTGTTTCAGTTTCACCTTTATCTGATGGTTGATCGTGTATCACAGCTTCTCAGTCTGTATTGTGTTTGTTTATTGTTTCAGGCCAGTTCCATGGTGGCAGTGGGACTGGCTCTGGCAGCAGCTGGATTTGCAGGTGAGTGAGTGACAAGGTGATCAACACGTTTCTAACCTTTTCAGGAAAGTGAGGGAAGGATACACATCTGCTGTGCAATAATACACTTTGAAACATGCACCAGTTCATATTTTGGTATTATGTGTACATTTCAGAGCATGTGTGTCCTATCAAACATGCAGCCACATTTGACAGAAGACACACTGGACAGTAAATCGAACTCAAACTCTGACGAAAACTGAATATTGAAATAATAGGCCTCATTATGTTGAATAATAATCACACATGTTTTTGATCTCATTGTATGGTAGCTACATAGAACATATTTACTTTTAATGCAGAAATAGTATAAAGAAAATATCAGCCCCACAACTGAATATAAGGTGATTTTCAGAGTTTGTGTTTTTAAATTGCGATAAGGGTTATAATGCAAACTTTATGTCAATGTCAATGTCAATGCCAGCTTTATTCTTATAGCACATATAAAAACAGCCAGTGGCCTACCAAAGTGCTTTACAGTAAAATAGCCAGAAACAGTAAGAAACTATAAAACAATAAAAGCATAAAACATATAAAAACATAAAACAACAATATAGATAAACATAGCAAATAAATAAAATACCAAATGAAAGTAGCTATACTGCCCCAAAAGCTAAAAGGGAACAGGTGCGTCTTCAGAAGTGTTTTAAAAGTGGAAAGGCTGTTAGCAGTAGGCACTGTCAGAGGTAAAGTATTCCACAAGGTGGGAGCCATGACAGAAAACGCTCAATCTGCCCTAGATTTTAAAAAGGATCGAGGAATGTCTAAAACCACCTGATTAGCTGACCTTGGGGCTCTGGAGGGCTGACGCAATTTGACAAGGTCAGACAGATATTCTGTGGCCAGCCCATTCAGAGACTTAAAAACAAATAAAAGAATCTTAAAATCAATCCTGTGCCTAACAGAGAGCAAGTGAAGAGAGGAAAGCACCGGAGTTATGTGCTCCCATTTCTTAGTCTCAGTTAGGAGATAAGCTGCGACATTTGGAATGAGCTGCAAGCGGTTGAGCTCTGACTTGCCAGTGTTGATGTACAGGGAATTACAATAATCTAAACAAGATGTGATTTTTGTCCTTAAAAGCCTTGAAAAGTCATAGGTTCTGACATTTTGAGGTCCAAAAAAGTCTTCAATTTTCATTTGTGAGAGGTCTTACATTTGAATTGAAATAGCTCATTTTTTAGGGAAAACAAAAGATGTGATGCAACATTAGTCAACCCCACCAACTGCAAAGCATAATAACAGTCATTATATCTAAACCATTATGATATGGCTTTTTGTATGTCATAGAACCCTTGTATTCAATATAAATATGCTGCCTTCTTCTCCTCTGTTTGTCTCCCAGGTCGCTATGCCATGCAGGCCATGAGGCAGATGGAGCCTCAGGTGAAACAGGCTCTCCAGAGCTTCCCCAAGACAGTAAGAGAGCAAACATTCATACAAAACTGCTGTAAAGTTCAAAACAGAAGTTCATCTGCTCAGGACCTCTTGGTTTTTCACCTTTCAGGCTTTTGGAGGAGGGTACTATAGAGGTGGTTTTGAACCAAAGATGAGCAAGAGAGAAGCGTCTCTAGTTTTAGGTATCAGGTATGTGGACATCATTTCCCTCCCTTATCACCAACTCTATACAGGCCGACTTGAGGCAGCCACTCATTTGTTATTGTACATCCAGAATCATACGGAGGTCAGAGGATTTGGTGTATATGTCATGATTTTGTATTTAGCTTTTTTCTACCTTTTTCTCCATTTAAGAGAGAGTGTGCTTACCGCATATTTTCTCTCTCATTTTTGGGCTAGTACTCACTTTTTATCATTTCTCTGCCTTTCAGCCCAACAGCAAACAAGAATAAAATCAGAGAAGCTCACAGAAAACTGATGGTCCTAAACCATCCAGACAGAGGTAAGTGGGAACTTTATGTGTCCACGGTTTTCTTTTAATCCTCAAGGTGTAAAGTAGATTGATGAGATAAATACAGATTGTTTTGCTGTATCTTTTATTTGTCTACTTTGTTGCTGATTAGAAAGTGTGAAACACTAAATTCAAGACGCATGTTGTGTGTTAATGTGCATGTGTGTTTTCCCACAGGTGGATCTCCCTACCTAGCAGCAAAGATAAATGAAGCGAAGGATTTGTTAGATGCCCAAACCAAGAAATAAATATGCTGGTGATGACATCAATTGGATCACATGCTGATCTCCTCCACACTGTTGCACTGACTGACTTGAGTGTCTTTTCTATCTGAATCTTCTCAATTAAAATCACTATGTACAAATTGTTAAAAGATTTCCCCTCCTTATTATGTTGTTTTTGAAATTTTGTTTCATTTGTATTCCCAAATGTCTAGATAGAGAAAGATAGATAGATAAATACTTTATGAATCCCAGTTGGGAAATTCAGGGGCCGCGCCACTCACAGACTTATACACAGTACACTAACAAAGACAACGACATATCAACAAGTGCACCTCTGCAGACCAGTCAAGTAGAGTAAAATCAGTTAAAACCATTATAAAAAGTGCAATAAACGCAGTAGTGCAATATGTGTATAGTGCTGAGGTTTGTTTACTGTAAAACTAAGAAAACCACTTGAGCATTATAAGGATATTTACATTAACTCTGCTAGTGCTGACAGAGGGGAATGTAAAAACAAATTATTCCAAGGTGACCTTTTAAATGCTGTTTTGCTTTTAAAGCTCACTGTGTGTCAGTGCTTTGGTTAGTTTTGAGTCTGTTTCAAACACACTGTGTGATGAAGTTGACTGGCAAGCGATTCAGCTCTGATGAAGTGTTAAATGGTTTTAATCACTGAAAGTTTGATCTGTTTGGACCACCTATGATCAGTCACAGAAACATGTTTTTTTTTCTTTGAATGCATTGGGGGAAGCTGATATAAGTAAAATCACAACTAGTGATTTAATCATTTAGAACAGTGTTTTTCAACCGGTGTTAACTTAATATATGCAAATAATTTGCAATTCTCAAGTGTCTGTGCTGTAATCTACAGCCCCAGGTTTCACACATGGTGAGTATGAATAAACTGAGAGACTATATTGTCACTGTATAAACTGAATTTGGGGCTACCAAGTGTCATTTGGTAACATTTTGGTTGGTGTTATGCCTCGTGAATTTTTTAATGAAAAAATGTACCAAAAAAGGTTGAAAAACACTTACTTAGAATATGCTGAGTAATTAGGACTAATTTATCGAAATAAGCCACACTTTTCTATGTAACAATATTTAAGCTATGTCATGTGGTGGCATGTGTTTAGGGTCACATTGAATATTATAATGGGTAGACTGAAAAATAATTTAGATGCTCATAACTTTCTCTCAAATGTCCAGCTGGCACATTTTTTAAAGATTTTTATTCGTATGTTTTTTATTGTTCAAACCTATTTTTTAAGAAAGCTAATTACTGAAACTCAACCTGGACGTGCTCCTTCGTAGTTTAATGATTACATAGGAAACCCTTTGGATAATGACAGCTCGATAGCCAATGAGGTGCGCTGCTCCATGGATTATTAGCCAATGAAAACCGAGAGTGGGCGGGCTCTTTGTTGTTGTGGTTGACGGTTCATTTCCTGCTGTACAGCGTGAAATCGATAATCTTCACTGCAGCCGTGTAAGCGAAAATGGGAAGAGATAGAAAGCAGAACAGCTGGCAGTGAAGTATTGTATTTCTCTTACTTTAACACTTATCAAACTTTACTGGATGTGTTACTAAAGTTTGAGCGACAAAAGAGTAAAAGGCGAGTCTGAATGAGACAGTTACACCCACCGCTGCTCACAAGACTGCGGCATGTGATATCGATTAGAGTAACACACAGGATTACCGTCTGCTGCCATAGCTCTGTTTCTGCTCTGACTGCTGGACGAGAGATGGAGGAGAAGCTGAAATAAACATTTGAAGCCTGTTGTTGAAGGACAGGAGAAGTCAAGGTAAGATGATTGACCACAGGGAAGAACTCAGGAGCCAAGATAAAGTTTGTTTTACTGCCTGTAAATACAGATAAATCTTCGTTTACCCATCAAGGGTGGTCCTTTTGCACTATTTTCTACTATAGAAGTACTCTGAAGTTAAAATGCTCATTAACCTTGTTTCAATCATTGCCAGGTTTCTTACTGGATGAACCTGCATCTACCAAATGGTGGACTTCACTCCTTTTCAACTTTTCAACAAGCAGAGGAAGCAGAAAGTTGATACCTGATCATTTATATATCCTGGGCTGACCAGAGGAGGACCAAACATGGTGCACGTCTACAACTGCCATCCCTTCTCCTCACAGCAGATAGTTCAGGTACATGGATGGATTAGCCTGGATTTATGATGATCCAGATTTTACAGGTCTGCACTCATGTCTGTCTCTCTGTCTGTCTCAGGTGGAGCAGGAGCCTGGACTGGTCTGTTGTGGAGGTGGAGCTCTGTTTTTGGTGGCTACAGGAGGATGCAAGGTTACATGGAAATATGCACATTCTTAAACTATATTGAATTTACTGTCCCATTATTCTAAATTGATAAAGATGACATAGCCATCTCTAACCATTTCATGCACTCCCTCTGCCCTGATTGACAGGCCACTGTGATGTTACACTTTAAATAGACTTGATAGTGTCTGGTTCTGTCTGTCAGTAAATATTTGTATGGATGTATATATTATATTGTACATTGATACTCAATAACTAGGAAGTAATTTGTTACAAACAGAAGTTTTCTGTAGGATACTTACTGGCTTGTATTATAATGTGTTAACCTGAACATAGGTGGAGGCTTACAGTGTGGTACAGGAGGGCTGCCCTCTCATATGTCGCTTTGCCACCATGGGCACCGTGCGGAACATCCAGCACAGCAAGATAGGTAAGAGCTTTCTCTGAACCTTCAAAAACATCCACTCGAGTATTTACAAGCAGTACTGAAGCAGTTATACAACATGAATCATATCTGTTACTTGTTCAAGACAGTCAGTGAGGGATTTATGGATTAATAACAAACATGAGCTGAATATTTTTGCTTAATGTCTCCTCTGCACACTGACGTTACAGGAGATTACCTGGTGACCATTGAAGAGAAGAACAGCGCCACCTACCTGAGAGCCTACACTAACTGGCGCTACCAGGTACACATTGACCAGCCACAAGTACACCAATATGTGACTTTAATTAAGGTCATATTATAAGTTTGGTATGACGAGTGAGAGGATAAGGAGAACAGAGACTTATATGAACATAATTAAACCAGAATATAGGTTTAGTACCAGAGAAGAAACACCTGGATGAACAGTCAAGTACCACACCTCTCATTGTAATTTCCCTGTGTTCAGGCAGAGGAGAAGGCCCGTGTTGGAGTGCGTTTGCTGGGACACCTGCTGCGTGGAGCGTCTGTGCGGGGCGGGGTGCAGATGGAGATCATCGAGATACCTCTGTCAGAGCGTCCTGTCGCTGTGGCGTGCTGCTCAGTAACAGGAGACCTTCTGGTCGGCTGTGAGAACACTCTGGTTCTGTTCACTTTGAGGAGACAGAACCAGCAGAGCCTGGTAAGAACACAGCCTTTTCTGTCAGTTTATACTCCTCTGTAGCTCTGCTAAATATAGAAACAGTTATTTTTGATTGTGTTTGTAAGTTTGATTTGCTTTAGAGTTAAAAGTGTTTGCCCCTTTGGCTACAGAAGCTATCTCAGAGTATGCTGAATATATATTTTCCCAAGCCACTATTACTGGTTCACATGATATTAATTTTAACCATGGCTTTAAGGTTTTAACTAAAAGTATGAAGACATTCTCAAACATTAGCGTCATCTCTTTCTTAATATGCTCAGTGTGGCTGTAAATATTTCTTTCTCTGGAAAATCACAGCAGAGTCAGAGTCAGCAGATTGTTCAGAGCACCTGGCCAAACACTCAGCAGAGCCCCAGTCAGAGTCAAGGTAACTTTATCCTGTAATTTTAGGCAATCTATCAAGATCCTACAGCAACATTTCAGACTCATAAACCATCCTCTCCTCCTCTTTTTAGGTCAAACTTCGAGTTCAAACCAGACTATTTCCATCCTGGATTTTGAACGCTCAGTTATCCTGCATCTCCCAATACTCAAGCCCAAACAGGTACTTTCAAACACTTCTTCACTTTTATTTCCCATTCTCTTTGTATTTGTTTCCTCTTTGTTATTCAATCCAAAATATTAAATCGTAATCTGGACCTTTGGTGAATCTTCCTCTGCCCTCTAGGTGGCGCTGTGTGGAGGATATGTGGCAGTGCGGACAGAGCTGGAGGTTCTAGTCCTGAAACTGGATGCATCCACAGAACCTCAAGTCCTGGAAGAGTCAACAGACACAAGTAAATGTTACACAAAGCTGCCCACACAGCTTACATATTTATGATGGCTCTTAAGACCCAGTAGCATAGTGACACTTTATTTTATTGGATTTTATTTTATTCTTTTTTATTGCTTTTTACAGTTTTTATTTATTCATTTTTATTTTTTATGTGTTGTAAAGCACTTTGTTTCACCGGAAGGCTTGTTGTAAAGGGCTGTATAAATAAAGAACATTTACATTTACATTTACAGCTGTATTTGTACCTCAAATTAGAGAAAAGCATTTGTTCTCTCAGTGACTTTTAGGTCTCTGACAGAAAGTTTGGAGTCTTGAGTTTTTAATCATTTCACAACATGTGTAACAAGATTTTAGGCTCTACTTGTACAGAAACAGTCTCATAATGTAGCTACTTTATCTAGTTATTGCTTAACTTTGAGTGATGTATGCATCTGTATTTTTTTGTGTGTGCAGCAGACCCTCAAGAAGACCCCACTGACTTTCTGGTCGTGTCGATACACCAGGAGCTGCTCGGCGATCGAGCCAAAGACTGCGAAATCCCTGTCAGCATCGAAAAGACAGGGCTGGAGGACAGAGGACAATACAGTCTCACATATGTCCTCTTTAGGTGTGTGTGTGTGTGTGTGTGTGTGTGTGTGTGTGTGTGTGTGTGTGTGTGTGTGTGTGTTTGGGGGTGTGTGGGGGTGTGTGTGTGGGTGTGTGTGGGTGGGAAGATTAGTGAAAACCTTTATTCCAAACAGTGAGTGAAGTTTTTCAAAATAAAACATCGTCTTGTCCTGCAGGCGCTTTAGTCCAGACTACTTCCAGGGCTGCAGTGAGGATGAGACACACCTCCACTCCCTACAGCTCTACCCACTGTTTACAAGTTGGTGTTTTCGTTTAGCTATCATGAATTTAAAAAGCTTCAGAAAAACTATGAAGTGTTGTTAGACGTCTCTGTTTCTGTCTTTCTCTCTCAGGTAACCAGACAGTGTCTGTGGAAGAACCAGCGTGTGTGTTCTGCTTCTTCTCCCTCCCCACCACAGGCTACTTGTACAGTCTGAAGGGTGGTGTGGAGCTTCTCTCAGCCTATCAGTATCCAGAGAAGGTCTTGGAGGCGGTGCTCACAGACCACCTGTTGCATGTCATCACAAAGTACGCCTTTGGTCTTAGTTTGGATAAATTACATCCTTTCTAACTGAGAATAATACAGCATAATCACAGAATTTATTTAAATAGACATCACTCATTACAAATAACTATTTAAAGCTGCACAATTGGGTTGTTTGATGTAAAATAATGTATGATTTCTGCAGCAGGATTAATTCAGGCAGGCCACAAAATCAGACATCAGCTGATCCTGATACCAGAGCATACCAGCTGACAGCTCAGTAGATTAACTTAAACTGCTTCAGCCTACCAACTCCTCCTATTTCCCCTGCACACCACTTTGCCTCCACCCTAGTTTCGCCTTTTGAAGCAGTGTCTGATCATTAAAGTGTCACATGTGTTGTCAATGATACTTGTTCTGTTTCGTTCCCTTGGGGGTCTTTGCTGATGCTCTCCCTGCCTTGTCTTTTCACATACACTCATGAAACAGAGGGATGGTGTGCTCTCTCAGTCACAGACTTTGGCATTTCACATATGCATGCAGAAGGGCAGGGAGCTCTCAGTACAGATCCACACCGCTATATTTAACTCACTACATGAAAATGATTTATTCTGTCTGATGGAGGGTTTTATTTTGACCGCTGTGTCTCTCTGGTAGGAATGCTCTGCAGTGTTTCACAGTGCGCTTGGCTGCTGTTGCGGCCAGGATTGAAGACCCTTACATTGATACCACCATGAAGGTACAATGTGCTTATCAATGTAAAAGGGAAGTTAGTCCACTCTATATGTATTAATCTTAATTTAAGAGCCTGAAAAATGGTAGATATGTGCTGTATTTCAAACGTTTTTACGCTTAAGCTCGACATCAGGCGGCTCTTACCTTTAGCGTTATAACCTTTAACCTAATCTTGTGCACGGGGTGCATTAAAACTTTAAGATACAATAAGCTCTGTATATATATATAATTATGTTTTGCACCTTTAAAATGATGTTTTTGTGGGTTTGAAGGCCTGTCCGCCCTCAACCCTGGAGGTGTGCGCGCTCAGGATGCAGCTCTTCATTGGTCTGCGGTCGGTGTGTGTTTACCGCCGCCATGTTATCCTGCTCTCCACTGCTGATGCAGAGACACCCGAGGAGACAGAGCGCAACGCACAGCGCAGGGGCCTGTAAGTCGCACACAAATGCACACAAACACACACATATGCAGAGGATACAAACACGTTCTTTTATCATCATACACCTCCCTGCAGGCACCAGATTACTCAGCTGATGTGAGTGCAGGCATACATACATTTATAAACCTGTTTACTGTGTGTGTGTGTTGTTGTTGTAGCGAGTTGAAAGAGCACAACATGCTGACTGGTATTTTCCTGGCGGTGGGAATCGATCCCGCAACCACGCCAGCTCTGGAGAGCCTTCTATCACGCCCCTTCCTGTAAGACAACCCCAAACCCCCCCCCCCCCAACCCCCATCCCTGTGTCTGTTCTGTCGTTTGGAGGCCAAACTTCCCTCGTAATACTCACAAGAAACCCTCAAAGTACTTACATAAGAGAGTGATTGTAACCAAATCTTTAGATCAGCCCTGATTCAGAGCGGAAACATCGATTGTTTGGACACTTCATCACTTTTTGAATTTCAGAGAATCAGGCTGACTCAGCCTTTTTTATGTTTCATCATTTAAAGCAAATCTACAGCCTGGTTTTAAACACAGTATCCATTTTTTTGTTATTGTCAAACTTGTGAATAAAAGTGGACACAAGTTTAGCATTTATCAAGATCAGACTTGATGTTTGTAGGAGAATTAAAGCTGGTATTCGATTTAAGGAAAGAGGAAAAGATAACTTTTTTTACAACAACAAATGACCTCGTTAGAAATCTTTCATCAAATTAACCATCAAACATCAATTTTACTTCACTGATCCATCGATAGTAGGAACATCCTCTGTTTCAGTCACTCACATGTCTAACCATAACCTTCCCTCACAGTGTGTGTGTGTGTGACTTTTTGCTCACAAACTAATCCTGTGTTTGGATTTTACTCACTAACTTCGCTCTCTTACTTGATGTGACAGGTGTCTAGTTTCTCATCACACATGCATTCACACACCCCTGTCAACATCAAGAAGTCAATTCAAGGATTCAGCATCCTTGAAAAGTTTAGCTTTCTCTGAGAGTGCTGGCAGGTGATGTTGGACCCCCCGGTTTCCACATATGATCGATGGTCAAAGATAAACAGACACACAGGAACATGGTCCTGAGGTTCATCTCATATGTTCACACAAAACCCCAGGGTATTTTGTGCCATTTTAACCGGTGCACTCACAGTTCACTAACTGTTTGTTGTATGTAAATTTTATAATGCTGTTTTTCACTCAATATCCAAGAAGATGGTAAATATTTACAACCCCATGTTCGTAAGAGCTGGTGCACAAAGTAAAGTTCGGTTAAAATTGAATTTTTTACTCTACAAATAATTTGAAGCCTATATTTTAAAAACAACATGTCAAATGCTGAAATTGAATATTTTTACGCAGTGTCCCAGTTCTTGAGAAATTGGGGTTGTACTTAAGTTTCTGGTCTTGACTGGAAATATAAGGATGAAGATGAAGATCCCGCTAAAACAGGAGTGGGTATTTTAATAGTTTTAACATTTTCATTCCTTGATAATTCATAGCTGCAATTTCACACTAAATTTGAGGTTTTTGAAAACCGAATCCCAAATTTTCCAGACTCCAGACCTCTTGCATGCTAACATTTTTACTCATCGTTCTCTAGAGTTGACAATCACTGAAAAAATGACCAAATCACTAGTTTTTGAGATGAACATAGAGCAGCTTGTAGCTCAGTCTCTGCCAGAGATCATTTCTGTATTTTAACTTTTTTTTGTTACCCCTCTGTTTGACTTTTGACCTCAGGGGCAGGAAGTGGCCGCTGTCTTCTCCAAAAGGAGTCAGCGCAACGGGACACGGATGGAACATCTACGTGGTCGACACCGTGTCCCCGCTCACTCTTTACCAAGAGATGGTAACAGAGACACACTTAGACTGTCTAAATTTGACATGTGTATTTCCAGCATTGATGTGATGGTTAAATGATAAAAACCTGAATAAGAACGGCTGTAAAAAAGTTAGAAAATCAGCAAATGAATATCTCACCTTTGGTTTGCATTCTTATTCTAAAGTATAGACTGTCTTTGTTAACGTGCTGTCTGGGTCTGTGTGTGTGTCAGGTTGAATACAGCCAGCGTTACGCAGAGTCAAACCCACAGGCTCAAAGCCTTCGTCACCTCCTCAGCGAGGCTCACCTCCTCCTCCGAGCCTCTTTACTCCAAACAGCAGAGCAGCTCCAGGACAGCGAGGACTACCTGGTGGTGTCTCTGCAGAGGGACGGACCCGCAGAGAGACCCACAGCTACACAGGCCGACACTCAAGAGCTGGAGGAGGCTCTGAGGCAGAACTGTGCTCAGCTGGGGGACTGTTTCAGCAGGTGATACCTGCCGCTGCTGGTCATTCAGCTCATGTTAGGGTCAAACGTTTCCTGGGAACTCATCTTCTTTTCTTTTCTGTAAGGGACAGTCAGAAGGATTGCCACCTGGCTCTGCCTTACTACAGGATGTCAGGTCTGCCAGTCACAGAGGTCATCGCCAGGAACCGCCCACTTCCCAGCAGCCCTCACTCGTACGGCACGGGCTTCCTGTTTTACCTGAAGCATTACCTGTTGGAGGAGTCAGAGCAGAGCCTCAGCAGGGTGAGCTTACATTTAAAAAAAATAGACGAAAACTCAAAGAAACAAAAGAAAAAGACAAACCAGAAATTTGTTTTTTTTTAACAGGAAGCTGCTGATGAGGTCATAGACATTTTTAGCCAATCAGAGCCCTCACAGCTCGTCAGTGTGTGTGCCAGCCCGCCCATGACAAACATCAGTCCTGCCAGGACGTTGAGAATCCTACAGAACCTGGAGGACACAGCCGGGGTGTCGGTTCCACTAACAATCACCATGGCAACCATGATGCTGCAAATGGGCGACCTGCAACAGTACACACAGCTGATGGAAAGACACGCAGAGGTGAAGTATCACAATCACTACCTAAAAAAAAACACACACAGTTCATGGGCTTGTGAGGTAAAGATGGGGACATCAGTAAATCCATAAATCTGTGTGTGTTCAGATGCTGCTGGTTTACGGGTTCATTGAAGAACCGAGGTTGTTGGTGCACGGCGGAGTCGGGGGCCAACACACACTCATCCGACCAACAGCGCTGACTCGCCAGTTAGCGAAGTCTCATCCTGGGCTGATGGTGGCTGCTATGGTGGCTTTACATGAAAACAACAAAGTCCAGCTGGAACAGGCGGATCGCATATTTAAGGTCTGTATGTCTTTGATTGAAGAGGTTATTTTGATATAAATCTTAAACAGCATATGTTCATAAAAAAGAGTAATAATTACGCATGTGTGTGCGTGTTTAGGAGCTGGGCTGCGAGAACTGCTTACAGGTGGATTTCTGGGAGGCCATGCTCATGGCTTCTTCACAGGAGGCCGTAATCCAGGAGCTTCTGTTCAGACTGGCATCGGTGTATATCGACCGACTGACGAATACACAATCAGATTCACATCCTGACCAATCATACACACTCCTGAAACGCAGATCGCTGAAGAGTGCTGATGATCTGGTACAGTAGAGTACAGTATTGAAATGACTCTAAAACTCATTTACTGAGTTTCTACCATAAACTAAAAAGCTTGCTTGTGTGTCTCAGATTAATTCTTGCTCCCACTTTGGCGCTCTGCACCCCTGGCTCACCGTTCTCAGTCCAGTTCACACTACCAGCTACCAACACCAGGAGGCGCTACATAAACTGCAGGTAATTCATGACTTAAGCTTCAATGCCACTTTTTCATCAACCCTTTATTCCTGAAGTTTAAACTCCTCCTGTATCTCTTTAACGTTTGTGTGCAGTCCCTCCTGTGCGGTCCATCCCTCTCTGTGGACTCTGTCTTCCCTCTGCTGGAGCGTCTGTCAGAGGACACCCTGTGGGGCTTCAGCCTGCACCTCCTCTGCGCGACCAGAAGAGGGCAGTATGGAAACAGCATTGAGAAGCTGCTGGACAGATGTCCTCAGGCCATTATAGCGTACGCCAATCACCAGTTACAAGACAAGAATATGGTACGTACTGAGCTGAGCTTGGACTGATGACTGTGTGCTGTATTTTCTTTTCAAACACACATTTACACAAACCTAGTAACACTCTGATTTCCTTAATTCACGCCTGTAGGTATTATGGTGGCAGAAACTGCTCCCAGAGCTTTGTAACAGGACAAGAGTTTCTGCAGACAACGCCATCTTACTGGCTGCTCTCAAAGGTAAGATAAAAACTAAATGATTACTTATTTCCTACTTCATTTGCAGACAACTGTGGAACATAGTCTTTTAACCCAAATTTTCCATAAATAGCATTATTATGAAATCCTCAGCCATGGAAATTATCCAGGCGCATTGGAAGTTGGAAGTTTTGGGAGACTGAGATCAGCTCCAGCCAGCGTCTTCATTCCTGTTCCTGCTTTTAACATTTTCTTCTTTTTTTTGTGCCAACAGAGACGCTGGTGGTAGTTTCCATGGAGACAAGCCCTGCAGAGTTCTTAGAGCTGATACCTGACGACGGTACCGCCTCCTACTTCCTGCCCCACCTGTTGACCTGTAGCCAGAGGCACCTGCTGGCGTGACACACACAAACGCACACATATAGTCCTTAAAATTAATGATTCACTTGACAGCAAGAGTAACCAAACAACATCATTTAATAAATGATTTTGCAATACAAAACACCTGTGCAAAAATGTTCAGAAAAATACAAAGACAAGGCCTCTCTTGGTCAAAAGGATAAGCATGTAAACCTTCTGTTATTGTTACACCAGTACTGAAAAAATACACTTTCAAATTTGAACTTGACTGAAACAGCACAAGTACAAAAAGTTGGACTTGGCCTGGACTTGATTAAGATTCACAGTCTTGTGTCGCAGTGGTATTAGTACACACAAATCCTTTACATGCTGGAGAGTCAAGATGTCAAGGTAGCTTGATTTGCTTCATAGGACCAAAAAGTGAAAAGCTGAGACAGAAAATAAAAAATTAAAACTCTAAACGACTTGATAAGAAAAAAAACCTCTCCGCTGACTTTCTGCTTCTCCTGACAGTGAAGTGTCTTTTTAGTTCTTTGTAATGATATCAGATAGTTTCTTCGACATAAAGAGTTTAACAGTGAGCGTGTATTTATCGATACAGTTTAGTTTTTCTATATTCTTCAAATGTCATCTTTAAATTGTACCATTTTCAAACACTGGGAGGGACAGACACAGTCCTGATATCTAAACCTCATTTTTGTTTCTTCACTAAGTAGAAGACAATAGAACGGTTTCTTCTGTATGTGCCTAACTTAAAACAAACTAAAACACCTTTTCAGATGTTTCTTGTAGAATTTGTAGGTGTAGTTGCTGGGAGTTAACAGAGAGACAAATTGGATGATAGGAGAAAAAAAAAAATCACCTATACTGGGCTTTACCCGCTGCACAGCCACAGCCTGATTGGATATCAGATACTGCTGATTGGGACCATGAAGAGCACACAACAGCAGCCAGGGAATCTCTTATAACCATTCAAACCAATGATTGTCTTCACTGTCACTGCAGCTGGTTCTGTTTAACTGCGGTTCTGATCAAACGGTTCTAAGGTACATATTGGATTTTAAACATAACTGTCATTAAAGGTTAAACCAAGCCCACTTTGGATAACCAACATATTAGGACAGTCAGTGTCAGGTATTCATGGAACATGTTGAAATCTTGGAGCAGGAAGTGATACAATCTGGACTGGGCTCGTCTTGTCACACATGTGTAAGACCTAAATTTTAACAAATATCAAGTTCTTTCTGCTACCTACAAATGCTGCTCTGCATATTTTTTCAGATTCTTCTCTGCACTTAATTTGTTGACTTTGCTGCCATTTTTTAATGTCTGTGAAACATTGTCGACTCCACTCCTTCCACATGAATGCAGTTGCAGTGACTCTGAGTTGACTAATCAGGCTGGTATCTTTGTGGAAGCCCGTCTAGTCAGGGGTTAGTGTAGTTAGATAACCAAAAAATACCCAGGCTACACTGAACATTCAATTGTATTAGCTTTCATTTGATGCAGCTGGATGGACACTCTATGGTCTTCTACTTAGAGGGTTTGAAAGGCAAACTTGAGGCGATAGAAAAAAACACTCCCTTCCTCCTTGTCCTTCAAACCTGAGGGACTCCGAAAAGTTCCTGCTGCGTAACAGTCACGTTGAGGTTGCACAAAAAAACATTCAGAAGTCAATTCTGAAAGAAATGTGTGAGGAGATTTCTGCACCGGGATTGTGTTTTATATTTTTCATATGTAGCCCTTCGGTTTGAGTTACTTTCACAAAGCTGGAACATGAATCCAGAAAAGATAAATCTCATTATGTTTGAGTCAGATGATGCTGATCCATTTTGTTTGTTTGTAAGTTAAGCCTCATTCTTGGACTGCTAAATGCAGCTTTCCAATCATACAAGTAAACGCACAGCACATTTTGAGAGTTATTGTCCAGAAAACAAGCCGGTCACACCACTGATGAGAGGCACCGTATGTTGAGTGTCAGTGTTTCCTTCACATCCTGCATGAAACAGTCTCTGAACTGCAGTTGTCGACACAGGAACGTTTCGTCTCTTCTTAAGGACACAGCACGGGTCTGCTACTTTTCACCTTTTAAAAATGGTCCTTATAAAAAAAGTTCTTTTGAATATATATCTTTGTATTTCATTCATTCATTCAGGACTTATGTACCGTATTTACACAGAGGTTAAAATAAAAGCACAACATTTTCAAACCATGGTAGTAAGAACACTTGATTTAAACAAGAAGGCATTAAAACGTCACACAGCTGTGTGTACGGGTGTGTAGCTGCGGCAGTGTTTGTTGCAGTGCCAGTTTCTGTCAAATCTCTATTAGAGCAGAGTCAAAGAGTCTGAGCGGGTCCCTGGGTGAGAAGCTGGACCCCTCTTTTCGGAGTCCCAAGCAGAGAGTGTGTGTCCCTCTATGTCCGTCTATCTACAGATCTGCTGTGATGACTGAATCGTTGTACATCAGTACGTCAGAATCAGCAGTGAGCAGTGCTGACGTTTGTGACGGGTGGTCCAGCTGTCCCATTGCTTTCTGGGAAACTTGTCCGTACATCTGAACCTGCCCCCCACCGCTCCCCGGCATGATGCAGTGTGAGAGCAGCGGCGTGTTGGCGTCGTGGTTGGAACCAGAGGTCGAGGGCCCGCCGCTGACGTGCCCTGTGCTGGTGGAGCCGCTGGCGCTGCTGGGTGAGCGGCTTTTAGGAGGGGGGAGGTGGTGTTGGATGACCCTGGTGGGAGGGACAGGTGCCGTGAAGTGGGCAGGGAAGGCTGCGTATCCTGGTGGGATGGGGTATCCGTTGACGGGGATGAAGCGTTGGTGTGTTTGTGGTACAGCCATGGGTGTCCAGGCTGGAATGGGACCCATCTGGCCTGGTGAGGGGATAGCCTGGGCGGGGTAGAGGTACCCAGCAGCTGCAGCGGCAGCAGCGTAGCGAGGGTTGCTGAGGTTGCTGACAGGGCTGGCACTGAGAGAGGTGGTCTGGGTGGTGGCGTTACCTCCACCACCGGAGGGCGTGCTGGAGCTGGCATGAGACGACATCCCTTCCCAGGCTCGCAGGCGGGCGTGGATGTCCTTGAAGCGAGGTCTACGTGCTGGTCCTTCCTGCCAGCACTCAGTCATCAAACCATAGAACCTGAAAGACAACAACAACAGGATTTAACCGATATATTTCAAACAGGATTGATTCCTCTACTTTGATGAAGGCGATGTTTAATTGTGAACCTGCACTTACCTTGGTGGACAATCCTCAGGACAGGGCAGCAGCTGCCTCTTTCTCACCATCTCCATCACCTCCTGGTTGGAGAAGCCGTAATAAGGCTGCAGACCGTAGCTGAAGATCTCCCACAGCACGACTCCAAACGACCAAATATCGGAGTCTGTGGTGAATTTGCCGTAGGTGATGGCCTCAGGGGGCATCCAGCGGATGGGCAGCAGGGTTTTGGGCTGAAGGCAGTAATAGTCTGAGGAGTAGATCTCTCTGGAGAGACCCAGGTCAGAGATCTTTACGTGGAGCTGTTCACCAACGAGGATGTTTCGAGCTGCAAGGTCTTTGTGGATGTAAGAGTGGCTGGCCAGGTACTCCATCCCAGCGCTCACCTGAGATTAATGAGACAAGAAGAAGAGACGTTAAAAGATTTGGAGTTTAAACTGTAAGAAAACCTAAACACCCATTCCTATTTTCAAAGCTAAAATCAGCTCAAATTCACTCAGACTTTTCATAACTATGTGTAGCCCAAAGAGTTTGAAACAACTGAAGAATTAGACAACGCTGACTGGAAATAAAAATAGAAAGCAAACGACGAATCATCAAATTGAGAAGGAAATATAAACATTAATCTAAAATTAATGAATCAATAAAAAACAGAAATGGAAAGTTACACAAATTTAAATCACTAACTTCCTAACACTACACACTGACTATCAAGCACATAAGACAATAATAAAGTGGCGGGTTTGGGTTTTAATTGACAAGACAAAGTCCAGTTTCATAACAAGATTTCAGAGTTCAAGTGTTTGATATCCACCTGTAAAGACATGTGCAGGAAGTCTCCGTGGTCCAGGCTGGATTTGACCGTCCCGTCTTCATCACTGCTGCAGCCGACATCAGAGTGAGGAGAGCGCATGATGAGGAACTCGTGGAGGTCGCCCTGAGGCAGAAACTCAAACAGCATACAGACGGGCTGCTCCTGAGTCACCACACCCAGCAGACACACCACGTTAGGGTGCTGCAGCTCCGTCAGCACTGCTGCCTCCTGTGACGGAGACAGAAAGGGAAGATATTAAGATGTTGACAAAATGTGCACAGGACTTTTTCTGGTAAAGACTTTTTCATGTGTTCAATGATAAATTAAATACTCATCTTATATTTACTTAATGAAAAAAGTCACCATTTAATACTTTAGAGATCCATTTGTAGTTAGTCACAGTAAGGTCTTTACTCATGGAATTTTACAAAACGCAAATAAAATGTTTCACAATCAGAAAATATTTAAGAAAACAAGTTTTTAAAAAACTAAAACATTTTGAAAAACGAAAAAATATTACTCTGAAATACGTTGTTCTCTGAAATATATTTTTCTGTAAATGAGTAGAAACATGATACATATTTCATTATGACTTAAGTGCTTGAAAATAATTGTACTTTTTGTAATTTATTTCACTTTTTTTGGAATTTATTTTGTTTTCTTTTAATATACTTTGTGTTCAAATGAACTGTTTTTGTAATGAGCAAAATGCTGTTGGGTTTTTAAATATTTTCTCAATTTTATTAAATGTTTTTGTGTTTTATGAAATTTCGATTTTGTGCGTGAAAAAATTTTGTGTGCCCAGGTGATCTTAGGGGGAGCAGGAAGGAGGATTTCTGTGCGTGTGTGTTTGTTAAAATCAGACAAAGTTACAGTAGTCAATGTGTGAATGTGTGTTTTTAATTGTCTTTGCATATTTGTGTCATTGACCTTCAGGGCCACCATATTTCACAGCTTTAAACTTTACAAACCATCAGAATGTTTTCTATTTTAAAAACAGGACAGTGATTCACAATAACTCTCTGTAGTTTCTTCTGTAAATCACAAATGTCAAAAGAAGAAGATTCTGATTTTTACTGACAGTGGTTTATGTTTAATGATGGATGCATTCGAAGCTGGCATTATTATACACAACTGACACAACAACTACCTGCTGGAAGTTTGCCCACTGCTGAGCATTGGAGACGTCCTTCAGAGTCTTTATGGCCACCAGCTGTGCCTGATCCATACCCGGCAGGTACAGATGACCTTTGTAGATCTTCCCTAAGCTGCACTCTCCGAGCTCCTCCATGAACCGCACAGCCGACAGGGGGAGCTCTTTGGCTTTACTCTGCAGAGAGAAGAAGGACAGGATGAGTGAGTAAAGATGTATGACAGAAAGATTAGATCTGTGTTTTCTTCATTTGGCAGGCAAACTTTTTTTTTCTCTTGTTTGGAAAGTGAAATATTGACGTGAAGTTTACACTGTGGCTCAGCTTCAGAGCAGGGAAACAGCCCACAATAACATCAGCTATGTGATAGAGGTGTTAAAAAAACTTAACTACAGCCTTGAGAGTTGATAGCTGTCATAATCAGACTCAATCTATTACATCAGCTGCTAACAACTCCCTTCAAGATTTGGGAGAGCTATGTGGGAAACACAAGATCTGCCAACATATTCACAGCTTATATTGGAAAATTAAAGCAAAAGTCTGCAGCTTTAAGGAGAATTTAACATCTTGTTCCATAAATGCTAAATTTGGTGCTGAAATGATCTCAAAAAAGCAGAAAATCTAAGTGGATAAGACAGTGAAGATGAACTGTCCAAGGTCAGAGCTGCCTCAAGTAATTTTAAGGGGACCAGATCTGTGCATGTGTGTGTGTTAAAATCAGATAAAGTTACAGTAGTCAATGTGTGAATGTGTGTGCGTCTACACTTGAAGATAAAAGGTGAGCAGAGGTCAGCAGAGATTTTTAGATTCCAGGAAATCTGAGATGAATAATGAAATTCCTCGCCGAGCAGAAATGAGACACACAGGCCTGTATGATCTCTGAGGGGGTGCAGTGTGTGTGTGTGTGTGTGGGTTTGTGTGTGTGAAGGGTGAGAGTGGGGGTCTGCTGATGTTATGAGAAACACAGATGTTTTTAGTTATGGATTTGTCTCACCCCCGTCTTTCCTCCCCACACCCAAACCCTCAGATCCTCCTCACACCACAGCAGGTTTCTGTGTGTGTGGAAATGGATTGTCATTGGCAATGACCCCTGGGTGACTCTGCAGCAAGGCCTGCTGGGTAGCAGCTTGATTCCAAGCCAAAAAAAAAGGGCACACGGGGGCTGGAGAGATTTGATGACAGCATGAATAGATTTGAAGACTTTGTCAACCAAGTTTTTATCTAGGAATTAAGTTTTGTCAACCCCTGTAGGATTGGGTCTTCAATGGTTAAAAAAAATAAAGAGGGAAAGCGAAACAGAGTTTTAAGTTTAAAAAAGTTCCCTAGTTATAGTTTCCATCCAAAGAGTAGTTTTTCTTTAAGGGTATCTAGTTCTTTCATTGTCCTGTCTTGTCAGCCTTTCCCTACTGCCTGCATTATTATCTGTTTGGGTGTCCTCGTGTTTTTTCAATAAATCCTTTTCCTGTGAACCTGCTTGTGTGCTGTGTCTCTTTTTAACATACTATAGTATGACATTTTTTTTAAACAAAGTATACTTTAATTTTTTTTAAATACCATACTATGAATTTTTTTTGACATCCTATACCATCAAATTTTTTATCATACTATACTATGTCAATTGTTTGACATATTATGCTATGGCATTTTTTAACATACTATACTATAACATTTAAATCATACTATACTTTTAAATTCTTTATCATACTATACTAAGACATTTCTATCATATTATGCGATGACATTTTTTTATCATACTACACTATGACATTTTTAATACATACTATACTATGACATTTTGGTCATACTATACAATGTCATTTTTAACTTCATATACTATGACATTTATTATCATACTATACTGTGACATTGTATCATACTATATATCACTTTTTTAACAAACTATACTTTGACAATTTTATCATACTATCCTATGATATTTTTTAACATACTGTACTTTAATATTTTTCAACATACTTTACTATGACATTTTTATCATACTATACTGTGACATTTATGAACATACTTTACTATGACATTTTTTTGACATACTATACTATGACATTTTTTTGACATACTATACTGTGACATTTTTTTTGACATATATACTATGACATTTTTTTGACATACTATACTATGACATTTTTTTTACATACTACACTGACATTTTTTTGACATACTATACTTTCAAATTTTTTTGACATACTATACTATGACATTTTTTTTGACATACTATATATGACATTTTTTTGACATACTATACTATGACATTTCTTTATAATCCTATGCTATTACATTTTTATCATACTAAACTATGAAGAATTTATCATAATATTCTTTGCTATTTTTAAACATTCCACAGGATGACATTTTTTAACATACTTAACTATGCCATTTTTTATGAAACAACACTGTGAACATTTTATCATAAATTTTTTGCAAGATTTTCAACATACTTTAACATTTTTTATATCATACTACACTATTTCAATTGTTTGACATAATATACTATGGCATTTTTTAACATACTATACTATGACATTTATTCTCATACTATACTGTGACATTTTTGTCATACTATACATGACTTTTTTAACAAACTATACTTTGACAATTTTATCATACTATGCTTTGACAATTTTTTGACATACTACACTTTGATATTTTTTATCATACTATTCTATGAGATTTTAATCATGCTATACTATGACAATTTTTACGTATAAAAAACTGTCCATCTATTTTTACTGTACTATACTCCAGCATTTATAGCATACTTAACAATGAAAATTTTTTTTTATCATACTATACTATGACATTTTAATCATACTATACTATGATTTTTTTAACATACTATACTATGACATCTTTTTATACTATTCTATGACAGTTTTTTAAAATACAATCTGATGACATTTCATAACAAAATAAACTATGACATTTCAATCAAAATATACTATGACATTTTTTTATCAAACTGTACTTTGACATTTTGATCATACTATACATCACTTTTTAACTTCATTTAATATGACATTTTTTAACAAACTATCCTATGACATTTTTATCATACTATCCTATGACATTTATAATCATACTATACTATGACATTTTAATCATGCTATACTATGACAATTTTTATCATACTATACTATGACAATTTTATCATACCATTCTATTAAATTTTTGAACATACTTTACTATGACATTTTTTACATCATACTATACTATAAATTTTTTTTCTATTGGGAACAGATGTCGGCACAAGTGTCCACAAGAGTCCTAAAATAATCTCAAATCCAGCTCGAGTGGCTCTGTATGGCGTGTGTTGTGTTCCCCTTGTAGACTATACAATACAGACATACTGTAATGGCAAAGCAGTTGCATATTAGTTTCCAAAGAGACCAATAAAGGAGGCTGCCACACTGGAAACAAAACATACGATCCTGCCAGCTAACTGGCCATGCCTATTTATGCACATCTACACATAACTCTCAGCCAAAATACATTAAAAGTGGATGGGTGATCTTAAAAAGTTCTCCCAGTTCAATGTTGCAGCAAAGAAATGTGCTGTTGAGGCCAGAACTGTTTCCAGGCTGTAAACACGTTTACGTCTGCTGTCAAAGTCCTTATTTTGATATGAGCTGCAAAGGGGTTTCTGGGCAATTGCAGCCAGCCTCAAGTGGAAAATCAAGGATCTGCAGTTTTTTTGCACTTGATTCATAATGGGTCTGATTCACAAAGGATCTGTGCAGCTTTTAGGCCAGCTAAACCTGCCCAAATACGCCAAAGGGTTAGAAAGTCTTCATACAACACTGCAGAGCAAATAGTGTCTCTGTGTGAACCATTATGCATTCAATTGGAGCAGATAGAAACCCTCTCTCTATGCAAATGTGCCTTTTGTATACCTAACTCACAAACACCAACTCCACCAACCAGGAAGCATTAGAACTTCCACCTGTGAATGACCTTGAAATAATATACCAGTACAAACAGTCTGTTTGTATTACTGACTATTTGAATCAGGGGTTAAATCAGTCCACCCTTACACATATTGTATTGACAGAGTCACTAGAGTTTGGATTAGTTTTGCAATTTTTTTTTTTTTTTTTAGCTAACTTCAGGAAGTAAATTGGACAAAAACAGCAAAATTTCTTTCTT